TCGGACCATGATTCTTTGTCCATGCAGCTGACATTGACTGCACTCCTGTTGTGTGTCCAGCCATGGGCCAGAGTCCATTCTGCTGGGCACTCCATTGCTCAGTAAACCTATGACAGGACCCTGGGAGAGCCCATCTCTGGGGATTAGCTACCTCTGAGCTCTCCCTTCTCCCCCTGCTCACAGCAGAGCAGGCCTGGCCCTGTCTGCTGCCCTGACTTCAGGGACCACTGTCAGCTCCCCTGAACCTCTCCTTAGCTCTTACCCCGCGTGCTCTCCTGCAGGCCACAAGCCGACTGCAAAGCCTTCCCCTGTGAAAGTGGGGGAGAAGCTGGTCACGAAGTCTCCTGTGAAAGTGGGGGAGAAGCGGAAGGCTTCTGATGAGACTCCGTGCCACGCAAAGGTGAGGGTGAGGAGTGCACCAGGGGCTGGTTTGGTCCAGGGCCTCATGTTCCCAACACCCTGCACTTGAACTTGAAGAGATGAGCAAAGGTGTTTTCGGGACTAAGGCCTAACCCCTCCCCTCCCGCAGCTGCTCTACCTGTGCCCTCTCGTTGCCTTGCAGAGGCGGCTGGCCAGTGAGCCGAGAGGAAGGAGAGCTGTGTCTGCAGGCAGGAGGTAGACAGCCCAGCCCAGCAGAGAGGCTGCAGGGACCCACCACAGTTGACATTAAAGGGGAGCAAGCCCAGTCTGGGTATGGGAGTGCAGCAGTGTGAGTTTGTGCTCAGGGCGGGTGCAGGGCCAGCCAGCAACGAGGGGAGACGGCACCACTGGCTTAGTGCCTGTCCTCGCACCTAGAAGCCTTTTCTCTTTGGTGCTCCCTCAGGTTTTGATTATACTCAACCACTTACTGAGGCCAGTAACTAGGCTCAACCCTGGGAGAACTGGTGGCCCAAAGGGCAGATAGAGAAGCAAGCCTTTGGTCACTGGAGAGAGTGATCACCCTGCAGGCCCCAGCAGACCTGTAGGACCTTTGCCATCTTTTCCCTACCTGAAGCCCTTGAATCCATCCCCAGCAGTGAGCTGGGCTCCTGGCCCCCGTTCTAGCTATTTGTGCAGTGCACTGCTTGAATGAACAACATCACTGCCCACCAGCCACTGGATGGTCCTTGGAGACATGTCCTTTTCCCTTCAGGTTCCAGTGCTGGGACCTGTCCCCTCTCCCTTTCCTCTACAGTAAGCATGTCAAGCCCGCGGCCAGCGGGCCACATGCTTGCTCTGCAGGGATGGAGGAGTGACATAGCCTCAGCCACACATGTGCTGGGTAGCAGGCATAAGAACCCAGCAGGTCTCCATCCCTGTGTACTCTGAAGTGGCTGGAGGATGGGGGTGTTGATGTCTATGCCTTTTCCCCAGTAAACCTTTTCCAGTCATGTCCTGACCGCTAGCGAGGCTCCCTACGTCTCGCCTCCTATTCTAACCCTCCTCTGGCCTATGCTCATCTGCGTGGAGACCTACCTGCCCCCAGCACAGACTGCCCCACTGCAACCCCTCCCTGATCCTGTGCATTTGCAGGTGCTGCTGGACATCTTCACTGGGGTGCGGCTCTACCTGCCGCCCTCCACACCAGACTTCAGCCGTCTCAGACGCTACTTTGTGGCATTTGATGGGGACCTGGTACAGGAATTTGACATGGCCTCAGCCACACACGTGCTGGGTAGCAGGGACAAGAACCCTGAGGCCCAGCAGGTCTCCCCAGAGTGGATCTGGGCATGTATCCGGAAACGAAGACTGGTGGCTCCCTGCTAGGACTGCTGCCTTTCCTCTCCCTCCTGCCTACCCTTCCCGGCTGGGGCAGAACCCAACTGGGCAAGGATGGACTTTCTTCTCCAAGCAGCGCGTCTTCCAAAACCCACCAACTGTGCATGGTCTCTCCCCAGCCAGGAGTCAGGTGCTCGGGGTGCCACCAGGGCAGTCACCCTCTCCTGCGGGCTTGTATAGATCTTCCAGATCTAGGTGCTGGTTTTGTTGTCTTTTAGTATTCTTTAAAAAGGAGCTTTTCTTCCTTTTTAAAATAAAATATCTTGCAGCTATCTCTGCCCTTCCCCCACTCTCACCCCCTGTAATTTCCCTAGTGATTAAGGAGTGAAGGCTGGGCTACCGAAGGTCTTCTCTCCTTCCTTGCCTGCCCCTTTCACCTCCATGCTCATTTTAAAGTTGTGTTCCTCGGACTGCCCTCCCTCAGAAATGCTGCATTTATATTTGGCAAAACATGCATTCGGTCTGGCCCTTTTTGCCAGGAATGAAGCCTCATCTGAAAGGAAACAAAATTAATTTTATGACTTAATTGTCTGGTTCTCCTGTTACAGGGTGTGGGTCTGCTTTGAACCAGGATCAGGTAGGAAAGTGGGGCCTTTATGAAAAAAAGGGAGGTTTGGGCTACTCCTTTGGGGGATACAGGCTCCAGGAGGATCAGCCTCCCCAGCATCTGGAAATAAGACTGCTCTTTAGGATAACCCCGAGGACAGATCTACACAGCCTGCTTAGAGGAAAGACTCCTGTGCCACCCAAGGCTGGTTTTTTTGAATAAAGGGAAACAATTTAGACGAGTGATGTTCAAAAGAACTTTTTGCGGCAATGGAAATATGCCATAGATCATAACTGATCCACACGAGTTAGCCACATCAGCTGTTGAGCATTTGAAATGTGGCCAACACAACTGAGGAGCTGAAGTTTTCATGGTAACCCAACTTGAAGTGATCACATGTGGCTAGTGACTACCACACTGGATAGTGCAGGTAGACCTGGTTCAAATCCAAGTCCTGATATTTAATAGCTATAACTTTACACAAGTTATTCAACATCTACACCTCCAAAAAGAATGGGGCTAGGACAGCCGTGAGCAAACTACGGCCTGCGGGCCGGATCCGGCCCGTTTGAAATGAATAAAACTAAAAAAAAAAAGACCGTACCCTTTTATGTAATGATGTTTACTTTGAATTTATATTAGTTCACACAAACACTCTATCCATGCTTTTGTTCCGGCCCTCCGGTCCAGTTTAAGAACCCATTGTGGCCCTCGAGTCAAAAAGTTTGCCCACCCCTGGGCTAGGAACTGGCCCTAAATCATGGAGTTACCTTAAAGAGTAAGTGAACTCAAGGTAAGTTCTGAAAGCACTTAGCACAGCCTCGCTGAGTAGGGAAAATCAACAGTGGCATGCGTGTTCAAACCCTACCCAGGAGGGGCCTGGCTCTAACCACTTCCACAGCCTCTTGCCTGTGTGACAGCTCACACTGGTCTGAATGCAGCTCCTCAGGTGGCCATCTGGTTCTGCACTGGCTCCTGTGTTCGCAGGCTTGCTGCCTTCTGAGAGTCAGTTCCCTTTTTTCATATTAAGCTAGTAGGCTGGTGTGTCCTCCCCTGTAAGTTAGGTGAATAGGACTCAACCTCTGGAACTTTTGTCTGGGCCTGTAGGTTGAGAACCACTCCCTCCCACCCAGCCCCACTCTGGTTTGCTCAATGAAGGCAATATACTGCTGGGAGGCTGTTTGCCAGTCAGCTTGGAGGCCAACTTTAACCTGATGGACCTGGGTCTCCACCTGCTGATTAAAATGTGTGGGGAGGAAGTAGCAGGAGGGGGAGGTGCTGCCTTGTCTCTGGCTCAGGACATTGGGTGGTTTTGAATAGGCACCATTCAGTCTGGCTTCAGTATTGGGAATAAGACACCCTTTTTATTCTACCCTCAGTGGAGACAAAAGCTGATCCTCTGAGCACTGACCTACATAAATTTCCACCCCCCTCTCCAGCCTCCAGGCCAAACAACTGGACAGGGCAGCAGAACGAGGCACTCCCCTGGAGAATTTGCCAAAGGACACACCACTGCCCTTTGGCCCAACTGACCAGCCTCAGCCCCACCTGTCCTTACTGGGTGCTTACACTCAAGGCGCAGCCTCACAGCTGAGGGGTGTGCTTGCTGGGTGTGCTCTTCCATTCCCTGTTTAAAGAGTTTTCCTTCCAGTCTCTGACATGAGATTTTTCTGAGCTGCTGAGATTACACCATATATACGATTTTGTATCCTTTCATGTATTTCCATAGACCTTGAGCCTTTGTAAGCTGTTGCTTGGCAGCAGATAGAGGTCATCACAGTGCTCAACGGGTCAGCAGCCCAGAACAATGAGAACAAAAGGCTGTGACTCAGCCTCAAGCCTTTACACACTGGACAAGTCTCCTCAGTCACAGGGCAGAGCTGCACACAACCTAGCTCTCCCAAAGGCTGCATTCTCACGAGTCCCCTCCCCTGGGCACTTGATCAAGGAGGTGTTTGCAGGCCTGTGCACACACAGCAGTCTGTCCACAAGGCTGGGCCAACCTTAGCCTCTCCAACTACCACAGCTGTATTTCCAAAAGCCACCATCTCTCAGGGTCACATGAAGACTTGACACACTTGCTGTCCTCAGACTCCTTTCTATACATATCACCTTTTTAAAATTTATTTTTATTGATTTCAGAGAGGAAGGGAGAGAGAGAGAAACATCAATGATGAGAGAATCGTCGATTGGCTGTCTCCTGCATGCACTCTACCTGCACGCACTCTACTGGGGATCGAGCCCCCAACGAGGGCATGTGCCCTGACAGGGAATCCAATCGTGACCTGGTTCATAGGTTGCCACTCAACCACTAAGCCATATCGGCCAGGTTATATGTATCTTTAAGGCCCATCTCTCACTAAATCAGTGGCAATGTTTGATCTCACTGCTTCATATTTGGTCTTATGATTGGTCCCTTTTCTACCCAGCTCCATCCTCATCTAGGCTTTCCCAGGCCTCTCCCCCATAGTAGTGAGCTCGCAAACAAGTCACAACAACACTTCAGCTTCAGTTTCCTCCCTTGTCTGTCGAACAGGGCTATCTTGACCAAAGCCACAAGACATGAGCCAAGCATCTCCAACAATAATGCGGTCTCAAGTGCATACCTGTGTGCAAACGCCTGGGATTAGCTTGTTGGTTGATCAACTCTTGTCAATCTTAACTATCAGATCTCTGGCAGCCTCACACCAGATCGGACAGGCATCTATAATGAAACTTTATTACAAAATTAAAAAGCAGAGATCTGTAACAAAAAATACACATTTGGGTTTGTATTACACCCAAGTCTGAGAGAATCTTAATATAAGCCACTTGAAGTAACACATTCACATCCAAAAAATTTCAACAAATTTATACAATATTATTGAGCACTAATTCCTGTACAGCTTATTCTTACTAGTTTGGATACAAGTATTCAAACATTATGAACCAGTCAGCTCTTGTTTTAAAAGTCTCAACTGAAGTTTCTCAATCACAGCAAAAGCCAAGAAATAACTGGAAGAATCATGTTTCCATGATAAAATTAAGACCAAAGATCCATGAGGGGCTGGAAGGAGTATTCAAGGATAAAAATCAAGTTTTCTACCTACATTAGTAACTAAAACGGGATCCTGGAATTCCCAACTTTTATTTGGTGTAATAAGATAGAACAAAAAGAAAAAATCAGGGTTGCTTGACACTATTTTTCTTAAGTGAAAACCGTCACCAAAAGAGGTTAGAAGACTTAAAGGCAAGTTCTTTCTCCAAAATGAGTAAATGACATCAGTTCTAATTCTTACTGAGGTTTCAAACCATCACCATATTATCTTTAACTCATGTTAGGAGGGAAATTGGGAGGCAGGGGAAGGTAAGGCCTGAGCAAGTTTTAAGTAGGAAGAGAACCAGCTTCTACCCTGAAGTTATTGCTAGAGGTTAACTGAGTTGCATATACATAGACCTGCTTCACAATGGAACTGAGTAGCTGAATCCTTTGCTAAACTGGCAGGCATTGTAAACTATAGTATTGACTGTCCAGCAGAAAAATGTCTTCACAGGGAAATCTCCATTCCCCCAGTTCCTACAAAGGCTATGGCCCAGAATTAAATCATCAGGACTTGGTATAATGTCAAGGTAAGTGGCCCAGTGTTTAGCTGACAACTACTTGATGAAATTTGGTTTTCCCACAGGGGATTGATTAGTGGTTGATGATGGAGGGAAAGCCAAGCATGTCTGTACCAATAAATAGGTCCTCTTAGAGGTTTTCCACTGCTCTCCAGAGTTACAATTGGTTCTTATCTTTGCTGCACTGGGGAGGGGAGGGGTGTCTGCCCTTGGGTGTTTAGGGTTTGCATAGATCATCCATTGGTAATGGCAGCACACACAGCTCCTCAGAGCATGTATGTTTGTGCTTGGCCAAGCTGGTCCAGCGAACTTTTCTTTAGCCCTTTGGTTCTCCCAGTGCTGTAAGCGCCTAAGAGGGCTCGAGAACACGACCTACTCATTGCACAATCCTTCCTAGAGCCCAGAGAATGCTTCTTCCTCACCTACCCCCAAATCAGTAGACTGAGAAGGGAAATAGGAGGAGGGAGTCCCCACCAAGCTGGGGAACGAAGGCTTCCAGCTATCTGCTCAAGGGCTGAAACCAGCCTCACTCAGTGCCTCTGATACCTCGAAGGGGCTCTGTGTCTCACAGATTTGGTCCCAGGAACTTATGAGAAGTCTGGCTAGAGAAGAGCCAGGCTCTTTGCCTAAGTAAGTCTCGATGCCTTGAGTGAGACCATGTTTAAACCTTGTGGGAAAGAGAGGGACTTCTTTCACAGAGGGAAAGGGTTTAGAACTGGTCTGTTGGAGAAATTGAAGTTAAGCAAAAAGCCTTTGATTCCACCCAACACTTTCCCTTTTCTCCAACTAAAATGAAGGAGGTGCTAAGTCGGCCTCAAGAGAAGCAGAGATGATCCAGGCACCATCTCACAGAGACACGAACTTCCCAGCAGTTTGGGAACCAGATGTTTCGTTGGCTCCCAAGGTCAGGTTGGGAGACAGACAGCTAATCCCAGCACTGAAGCAAGCAGCTCTTAATGACTTGGAAGTTTTTCAATAGCATTTGTGTTTCATTTTTCACCAGAGAGAAGTTGACTGGTCCAAATTCTGTCCTAGGGAGAATCATTATTGGTCTAGTAAGCTAACATCTTTTTGGTCTAAGGAAACAAATGGATTTTAGGCAATGTAGCAAGAAACCTTAGCAAAGGTAGGTTAAAGCAGAGAAAGCTAGTGAAACCAGAAATAAATCCCAATGTGCTGGGGAGGAAGAGAACCATTTCTACCAGGACTTCTGATTGGTGAAACACAGCCAGCAGCTTAGGAGGTGGGGCACAGGAGGAAAGGGAGAAGATACGGACCAAGTTCTGGAAAGTCCTCTCTCCATCAGTGATCATCACCCAAGATCACTGAAATGGGACTTGCCCAAGCGATCGACACCAGTCCTCACCGCCTCAGGCTCTGCCAGCCAGGAGGGGCACCTCGTGGCAAGACAGGCAGCTCAGAGGTGACAGCATCTTTGCTTGCCCTGGTCTTGGGAACACTGCAGGTTTTCTTGTCAGCCTGCCCCTCTGCAAGCTGCCAACCCTGAGCCCAGAAACCTCGCACTGTGTCCCTGTAAGGCACTGAAGAAGCCGGTACCAAGCCCTCAGGACCGGAAGACGTGCACGGCTCGGACCACATACTGCCGACAGATGGGACACTCGTTCATACGCTTGCCACACTTGGTACAGGTCACCATGTGGCCACACTCCAGCAGAACACAGTCAATGGGTGAGTCCATGCAGATCCTGCACAGGTTCTCCTCCAGGCTGGGTGGCACTGCTCCCCCTGGACAAACACAAGGCAGGAGAGGGGCAGAGTAAGTGTGTGGAGGTGGGAGAGCACAGGCACACTATGAACAAATCCTAAATCCACACACCGCCCCTCAAATAGGACTCCAAGGGACCACTCCTCCAGTAACCAATTCCAGTTGCTCTAATCCACACCTCCACAGACCAGGCTTTAGATGTGAAGAACAAAGTATCTGTAGATCAAATACCCCCCAGAACAGGAGAACTAAATAAGCCAAGTCCTCAAAGCTCAAAAGAAATCATTTTCAGACAATTGATGCTGTAATACAGAGAGTCAATGGCACTTAGGGACTCATTATCCTCTGAGGCAAAACATGCTGAAAAGATAAAAAATGGTTCAGAAAAGTTTAGGTATAAATGCAATTGTAATGAGTGATTAAGGATCGCAAGACTTATCTGTAAGCATATCCCCAATTTAATAAAGCCAAGGACCAGGGGGCCCCCTGTGCTATCCACAAACTCCCCCCGCCTCCCAGGCTTCCTCAGAAACTTCCTCGTACAAGAGCCCAACAGATCACACAGGTCCCTCTTCTGGCTGCACCCACAGGACTGTATGCTAACCTCCATGAATGCTCAGCGCACTGGGTTAGAATGTCTGAATTTGCCTATTTATCTCTCCCACTACACTGTGAGTTCCTTAATTCAACAAATTCATTCCATTTCTACAATTACATGCTTAGCATTTGCTATGTGCTCTGAGGTCAGGTATTCATCTTTGAATCCCTAAAACACCAGTCATGTGGTAGGTGTTCTCAAAATGTCTAATAAATTAACATCTCCCCAGGGAATAACAGCTCACACTTACGGAATGCTTGCAGGTACCAGATAAGGACGGTCCTGAGAGCTTTGCATATTTTAACTCATTGAATCCTCACAAAATTACGAAGTACGTTCTCTTACTACTCATTTTATATATGAAGCAACTGAGGCCAGAGAGTTACGTGGCTTGTCCAAGGCACACATCTGCTAAATAGAGAAGCCAGAATTCAGATCCCAGGGGGCCCTCTGGGCAGTGGCCTAGAGGCAGGGACTACCACGATGGTATTAAACTGATAAGGACAGATACTACACTTGATCTTAGCCAAAAGGCCGAGAAGCGATAATGGTATTAAATGCTCAGTGCATAGAGTTCCTAACAGCTCACCCTCTTATCTGAGTGGTGAGATACAGTGGGCATGGCCAGTATCCTAGTTTAGCTGCACAAACAGAAAAACCTTCATGTCCAAAACCCCAGACACCCCAGGCAGGTAGTCTGAACGAGGTAGCCATAAATAGGGAACTGGACTGACCAATCACCTCTACCATTCCCAAAAGGCTCTGTTGCTTCTGCACTTTCTTTTCCTGTTTCCTGGACTATTCAAAAAGTTAGGAAACACTTGCAGTGGGCTGGCTATGAAAGGTCATGAAACCTACTTACCCATTTGAGGAGCTATTAGCCCTAACAAGGAAGGTTTGGAAAGGGCTGAACTACACAAATACCTAAAGTGAGCAGGAATAATTTACAGAATTTCATCACTGACTACTTCTCTCAGGAATAACAATAAACTCATCAACGCAGGGAATCAGAAAAAGAAAGGAAGACACCAAGGAGATTAGCATGATCTTGGCACCAAGGCGAGGGAGTAGATCTAGAACCCCAAATGGTTTGGGGGAACTGACAAGAGCTCAACTCTTGATAAATTATCAGCCAGAAGACTGTCCCATTTTAAGCAAAAGACCATTTTACTAAGTAATTTGGAGTCTTCTGAAAGTTTTAAAATGCTCTGCAGTCTCCTACACTACTCAGAATGTTCTCTCCTGGGGAAAAGCTCACAACCATACAGCCTCAGGCTTTCACAAAGGTATACCAGAGCGTTTTAGAATGATGCCAAATCCAGTCAGACTCCCGCAGTGCATTCTGGGAGTACCCAAAGGCTCAGGTGGTCTTCAACACACAGGTGGATGTGTGGCAGCTGAGATGGGATATGCATCTTGTGCCTACAGAGCACCATGTGTGACACCTTCCTGATGTGTCCCTAGGGCAGCTGGAGCCACTGTTCAGCCCTGGACAAACAAGGTTCTCTCAGATAATCCCTTCTTCTTGGTGGGTACGGAAACTGTTAAACAACCCAAGTGATTTCCCTGAAGGCACACAGAGACGAGAACTGAGTGTAGGGGAAGGTGTGCCTTAGTACTAGGAGTATGAAAAATGAACCGAATGTGGCACATGCCAGCACTCGCTTTGGTAAGTATTTCACAAATGCTGGCTTCTGAGTTCGGGTAACCCAGAGATGTGCCAATCAGTCTGCTCCCAGATATGCTGCCCTGGGAATTTCAAAAGATGCCAAGGAGCCCTGGCTCTCAGTGAATTTCCTCACACCCTCTGTCCAGATGTTGACATGCTCAGACTTCTTGGACTGTTATCAGGAACTGGGGGTGAAGGAGGGGAAGGAGAGAAGAGCTAAGAGCATGAGCCATTCCCAAACAGAAACAAATACATACCATTTTGGTCTTCGGCACCACACACTGAAAAGGAAAGAGAAAGAAGACGTCTGAATATGTGATGATCCCAGGAAAACCTGCAACCTCCCTAACTTCATTTCTGATCTCTGCTCTTTCCCTGCTGGGAACCAGGGTGGCCGAGAGCCCAGAGAAACACCTGCCTTCCCCACTCACTGCACACGCTGAGGACTCAGAAAGCTCTTGCTGGTGTGTCTGGTCTAGTCTCAGAACAGAGGGGCTCTACTGATTTGCATGAACAAAACTGCCAAGCAGAAAGGATTCTGCATAAGCACAATATCCCTTGCTATTGCCTTTTATATATATTTTTTTTATTGATTTCAGAGAGGAAGGGAGAGGGAGAGATAGAAACACCAATGATGAGAGAGAATCATTGATCGGCTGCCTCCAGCACGCCCCCTACTGGGGATTGTTGCGGGCATGTGCCCTTGACCGGAATCGAACCCAGGATCCCTCAGTCCGAAGGCTGACTTCTATCCATCGAGCCAAACCAGCTAGGGCCCATTCCTATTGCTTTTAAAGCTAGCATTAAGTCAAGAAAGAAGGTACAGTCTGTTCCAGCCAGCCAGTGCATCCTGATGAAGTTCCCCTCCGGAGTTCCCATCTATTCTCTATGTCCTCACAACTCTAGGGCGATTCTGGGGACAGTCCCAAAGGGAAGAGTGAGCCTGATCAGGTGACTGGCCAGACGTCCCCTAACTGATGAATTTGAGCTACTGGGAGAGGAGAGCCTGAAATATGACTTCAACTACTGTTAGCATGCAAGGAATCGAAATGTTGATTGGCAGGAACTAAATCAGTTGGGGAGGAGAGGGAAGGAGGGGAGGGGGATAGAGTTCTAAGTGACATCATTTCAGGAAATGCAGAGTTCAAAACAGCTAAACACGTTTCTCTTCTGCAGGATTTTCTGCCTTTACTAGTAAAGTATCTACCATGAATCAGTAACGGGGGGTGGGGGTCATAACAAAGTATTTTTTCCAAACTAATTTGATCACAGACCTAGATACTATACTGGCTTGTCACCTGAAAATGATACCATGTAGAATGATTTGGGAAATGAATAAAAGGAAAAGCCCAGGTATGACAGTCTCTTCACACAGTGTGCGCAAACATTTGCTTCCTAATCTCCCTACTGGTTAAGTATTGTTGGGGGTAGTAGGGAGTGTGGTGGGAAAGGCCATGAACTTAGACCAGGAAATTCTCAATTCAATTCTGGGCTCTAAAATAGAAAGAGGATGAATAATGCCTATGTCATAGGCTGCTCTGAGGACTAAATAAATGTATACAACGCCTAACCCAGTCCTGGACTCAACTCCAAATGACAGCTATGACTAGATGGGGCAAATGTGTAAGGAGACTCCTTCCTTGGAAGATGCTATTATGCTGTGGAGTGACAGCTGCCACTCAGCCCCTCACCCAGGTGCTGGAGGCCTTTCTGATCCTTGTACAGCCGCGTCACCCTCTCCATCAGCTCCCACTTCTCACAGCAGCCCTTGTAGTTGACGAAGTTACGAGCCAGGATCTCTTTCAGCTGCCGCACATTGAGACCTTCAATGTCTTCCAGGTCGGTCAAGTCAGACAGAGAAGCCCTCCGGCCCGGGACGAAGCTGTCCTCTGAGTCGACGGACTAAACAGGCAGAGATGAGACTGGTGGGCTAAGCTCTGAACTCCCCTGGCTCTCTCTCCAAGGACCCCAAAGCACTCTCCCACCATCTCTGGTGACTGACCTCAGAAGCAGGAACAGAGGCAGGGAGAGTGGGTGGCACAGTGCTTTGCACTGAAAAAGACCAGTCCCTGCCTGACCCACAGTTCTGTGCTCAGGCCCAACAGCCACAAACCAAGCAGTGCATGTAAGAGAAGGAGCACGGATTGGAGTCTGATGACCCTACCTTTGAATCCTAACTCCTCCACTGATTAATGCTAAATAATATGTGGTGAGCTGCTCCTCTCTCGGAGCCTATCTGCCCCCGCATGAAGGAGAGAGCAGTGCTAGCACACTGGGTTCCTGTGAAGATTAAATGTGGCAGCACAAGAAGCCTCCTCACATGGCGCTGGCTTTTCTCTCTCCCCACTGCAGAGATTTCTGCTTTCCCAGGGAAGAGGCAGACTTCCCTGGGAGCACTCCTCTGTAGGCAACCTTGACCGTAACTCCGTGACCCCAATGGCTGTGTCCTCTGGACTGGCCCCGCCATAGCTGAGGTCTGCCTCCCTCTCAGCTTTCCTCCTGATTATCTGACCTCCTTCCCCTGACAATGGCTACTGTGTGCTTGAAGCAGAAGGACAATGAGATCTGCACAGCAGCACCAGGAGCCTGCACTCGGGCAGCTCTCAGAAAGTCAAGAGACTGGAAACTAAGGGGCCATGCGGCTCCCCAGTCTCCGCTGTGACCTCACAACTCCGCACTAACATTCTGATAGTTTCGAAGGAACACTAGCACTAAACCCCAGCCCTGAAACAGAATTTCAGAACTATCATCACAGACTGATTCTTCTCTCCGCCTCAGAGTCTGTTGAGAGGTTCCTAATAACAGCCCAAGAACACGAGGCAAAGGGCAAAGGGCAAAGACCCACACCCAGACCAACCAGAGACCCACCTGGGTCTCATCCTCAGCAGGTGCCCTGGCTGTGCTCTCCAGGCGGATGGGTTCTTCTTGGTCCTGAGACACGTGACCATTGGCCTGTGGGAAGAGAAAGGTGCCATCACATCCGCAGAGATGCCCCAGGGATTAGCAGAGCATTGACCTGTCCTGAGCTCACACCATGTCCCATGACTCCCACCTGCTCCCGAAATCTATAGTCTCGCACAACAGCCTGACAAAAGCTTGCTCTCTAATACTGACTGTGTTAGGCAGAGAACCAGAGTGCATGAATTCTGCCCACTGCCAGGATGGCATTAGCCCTCTCATCGCTGAGGTACCTTCAACACTCTGGTGGGAGGAAGACCCTGTGTCCACTGCAGGAGGTTGCTCGTCAACTGTCACTGAATTGTTTCTTGCCACTGACCCCAAACTGCCCTTTCTATAACGTCCACCCTCCATCCTTGGTTTGCCCCTCAGACCAATGTCTACTGCTTTCTTCAAACTGTTCACAGCATGTCTTTCCTTCCTCAATACTAAATCCTCAACTGGCCCAGCTGAAACAGTTCTGGACCCTCACCACCTTACTCCCTCCCTTCTGGCCCATCACCACGCTCACATTCTGGAAATGGGGTCCAACCAGCCCGGCAGGGCACACTATTACTAAGAGCTGCCTTGAAACCTGGTCAAACATGTATTTTAAAGCATCTAAGAGCTTACTAGCCTAAGACTACATGAGACAAATGCTTATGCTTACAAAGTTTCACTCTGCTTGGAATTCTAACTTCTCAAACAGTTCTTAGGTACTTCTTCAGGTTTCACCAAAGACTACTCAGAACTATGCGTTTCTTAATCCCATCACCATTTAAGCCACAAGTCCCTTAACTAGATCCTTTTCACCCACTACTCCCTCCGGGCAAAGCCTCCTGTGAGCCCAGAGCAAAGAGTGTCTGAGCCCACAGGCCTTTTCCAGTAGTGAGGCACCAGCAAAGGGACAACCTAGGAAACCAGTCACCCGCTGGCCCCAGCCACTCCTCCCCGATTAGGATCCGTACATGGAGCTAATTAAGAGAGGCAAGCAACTACAGCAAGAATGGAAAGTAGAAATCGCCACCACCACCCAAAATGCCGAGAGGATACAATCACGTGTGTAGCAGAACAGGTACTGGGAGGCACCCAAAACCATGTCTTTATCAACACCTCTTGTCTCTCTGAGCTTTATGCAGATGTGTACGGACTGGCCTCCTGGTGTCACCTGGGAGTTACAAAACCATCTTCTAGAACCTAACCTGTTCCTAAATAGGCAGGTTTTGTAGGTCTATTTTTTTTTCTTGGAAAGAGAAATTGGATCTCATGCTGCAAAGCATATTGCCTTGGCCCACTGGCTAAATCAAAATCTACAACCAGCAGCTGTCCAGTTTTGCTTATTCCATACACTTCCCTCCCTAGCAACGACTGCCAGGGCACTAAAGGTAAAGGAAAGAACCCCGGTGGAGCAAGCACTACGAGATTTGCACACTAGTGCAGCTCACTGTGGAGCTGTCAGGTGGCCTTGCACAAGTTACTTGACTTCCCCCATGTGTGTTTTTCTGGCTTGCAAAAGGTAGCTCTCACCAGAACAGAGGATGTGAGCTGACGTGAAGGCCTCCAAGAACATCGGAGATCAGAGAAGTGCCCAATTAGATCTGGCACATACTGTAATCTGTAGGTGCATCTGAAAATTTCCAGTTAATGACAGGAACCTTAAAACCTATTCCTTTCATTGAAAAACCCACCTGAAGGTTCTTTAGGGGAAAACAATTTACTCAAGTTGCTCTCCCAGCTCCCCCTAAACAGAGAGGAGTGAGTGCTCAACCAAGCACAGGGAGGAAGTCACAGCAGGAGGTAAAACCTGCCCAGCAGAGAGAGCCAGAGATTAGCAAAGAGTTAAACTCCAGTTGGGTAGAAAGCATGCTCAAGCCAACAAGGGAGTAAATGAGTTCACTGCAGGTAAAGTATGCTATCACGCTGGCCTTCATGCCTCAGTGCCCGTCAGAGCTGAACCAGAGGGTCTAGTCCTGGCAAAAGAGATCATCAACGGGCAGCAGCCATCCACTCCCCGGGTGGGAACGTGAGTACTATGCCAGCTCTAAGTAGCTCAAAGCTCTTTGGACGTGACATCACACTAGTCAATCCTCCCACCATCTGGCAAGAACGAAAGTGGCCTGGGATTACTACCTCATCTCACTGTTGAAGGCTCAAAGTTCACCCGGGGTGACCAGAGAGTCAGTGACAAATTGGGTGTGGAAACTGCATGGATCTTCTAGGTCCTAATCCCCCCACTAAGGCACTTAAGTTCATCCATAGGACACCATCACTCCTTACACAGTGGTCAAGTCCACCCGCCTCACTCTTATCCCACTTAGGTCTGTGTGCCTACCTTTCCTCTTAGAGAGGCTTTCTGAGGGCAGAGACAATGCATTACTCATTTCTGTACTTCCTGTGCCGGTTCATAACTCAGTCCATGTGCTGCTCTTAGCTTACCATTCCCAGGCCCCACTGGGATGATGACAAGCAGTGTATTTTTCATCCGATGCCAACCACCCCTGCCCAAACAGTGAGTGGCCAGAGAAGCAGTGCCCTTGTCTTGGTTACTGTGCTTCCCTGCTCTCCCTTCCCTCTACATGTTCCTTTCTTTCCTATGCGCCTTGGGATGGTTACTAAGGAACCAGTTCCCTACACAGCTAAGAAAGCCCACAATAAAGGTGAGTCCGTGGGAGGGCAATTTGAACAGAACTAAATTTGGAGAGTTAACTGAGTTTTCTCCAGTATTTCTGGAACAATGAATTTTTTTTAATGTCTAACTGGGATATGTATGTATTAAAAAACACCAAAAACCTGGGACTGTGCATTATCACCTCTGAAAAAAGCCAAAACCTGAGTGTGGTGTCAAGGAAATATCACTCATGCATCAGTAGGCAGAAAAGTTTCACATCATCAAGAACTTAAGCTCACACCCCACTCCCACAAGCAGACAGGAGGGGAAGTGAGCCCTCCAACTGGCAGAGACTGCAGAGCCGTACCTGCTGATTTTCCTGAGCCTGGGCGGGGGGGACAGAAGTGGCTTGTGAGGGTGCAGAAGGGAGGTTGGGTGAGGTAGGAGGTATTGTGCTGGCATGAGGCTGGTTCAGGAAGGCCTGCTGCTCAGGGAAGTCCGGGGAAAAGGTGGGGGCACGAGTCCTGCCCTCCTGGGAGATCACAGGCTGCTGGCCAAGCACCAAGAGCACCAGCTCCTCTTTTTCCCGGCACATTTCAGTAGAGATGTCATGGAGGTTGAGATAGTCCCGCAGGTCCTTCACCTTCATCTTCATGAGCTCCTCCCGCTGAAAGGCTGTTGCTCGGAATCGTTGGCAGAGAAGGCAGAGGCGGGGCCCATTTCCCACTTGGCTCGAACAGGTCATGCAGAAATTCTTCTTACAGTCCAGGCAGGTCTGCTGCTTAGAGCAAGAGGCAGAGGAAACCACATCAGATTCTGAGAACAAGACAGAGTGGGCTGGGAGCTTAGGGCTGCCAAGCCTAGCGAGACCGCCAATCACGCTTTAACTAAGCTATCTCCTATATCTAAGGATGCAAGCTAACTTGCAGATTTCAGGTTAAAAGCACTCAGATGACAGACCCTCTGTATGCATCTGTGTATCCATGTACAGGACACTATGTTTATTATCCCATGTGAGGTTTTATTTACTTTATTGAGAGAGAAATAAAGGCTATTAAGACCACCAGGTTTAGAATAAAAAATCCCTACATTTTGCCCTGGCTGGTGTGGCTCAGCTGGTTGGATGTCATCCCATGCACCAAGGGACTGGGGTTCAATTTCCAGTTAGGGCACATGCCAGGGTTGTGGGCTCGATCCCCAGTAGGGGGTGTGCAGGAGGCAGCTAATTGATGTTATGCTCACATCAATGTTTCTTCTCCCTTCCTCTCTCTCTAAAAAAAATCAATAAACTATTCTTTAAAAAAAAAATTCCTACAGTTTTATTGTCTCCCTCCTCCATTTCTTGTGGTGTCACCTTGGGTGTGTAACTTGGCTTCTCTGGCCCTCAGTTTCCTCATCTGTAAAATGGGGGTGGTAACAGTATCGACCTCATAGGATTGTTGTAAAGTTAAGAGATAAGGCATGTAGCATAGGGGTCCACAGTAAGTGTAACTGTTTTAATTATTATTATTGCTAGGAAATATAAGCTAATGATGAGAGGCAGGATTCAAATCATGAACTATGATTGTATTTATTGCCGAGATAAGAAAGCAAATGTAGAAAGGTTGTGGTGGTGATTATTATTACTATCATTAATTAAATTTACTGAGGGGCCACTATATGCTAGAGCTATATCTCGCTTGTCATTTAAATCTCAAAGCAACCCTGCAAAGTAGGTATTCATGTACCTCCGTGTTTCACAGACAAAGCAACTGAGGCCTAAAGTTCTAAGTATCATATTCATGGGCAGGCAGCAAGCAGCAGAGCTAGGATTCATACTCAAGGTCTGTCGGCGTTGAATGCCCACAGTCATGCTCTTTGCACCAGGCCATGTTGCCTAACTCAGTCCCATTCAAGCTGACAGTGGTACTGGGTCAAGAGCCTGGCTCTCCATCTCCCAACTCCCAACCCAGTGCCCCACCCAGAGGCTGGTGCCCAGGCTCCCCCACCCCAGGAAGGCCCACTCAGAGTGCTGGGAATTCAGTGGGGCAGGAGAGCACATCCAAGGCAAATACTGGACCTGATTGAGGGAGCTCTCGTTCGTGAAAGTACAGAGTGTCTCAGAGGGCAACAAGAGGGCCTGGCAGGCAAGCTGGTACCGCCTGGCAGCAGCAACTCCCGCAATCACAGACAACACAATACACGATGGCTTGCTCAATTCAGGCAGCAAATCCTCAGCCTCTTGCCCCACAGGCTGAGCGAGCACGGTGACATCTGACTGAGCTTTTGCAGCCAGGAGCAGGTCACACTCCAACAGACTCCAACAGGAGAGGCCACTCCTGGGCACACTGGGATGATCCTAAAGGGCACACTCACTAATCGTTTATAGAAATAAAAACCTTTCCATCCTGTGGTGACTAAACATTTCTGCTCCCCCTTTTCTATTCAAGCCAACAGGAATGCCCAAGAGACTTAGATTCTCCCAGGCAAAATCACAGAACTTGTGTGGGCTGAAGCACAAGTCTGCATAGCGGAGACAGCTATATTTAGTCTTGTCTAAGTGTCATTCATGTAGTAAGGGGAGGAGGGCATAATGTTTACCACCCAGTTTGACTATAAATACTTAGAAGGCATTGCGAAAGGACACATATCAAGTTCTCTATTCTCCACACAGTTATAACCAGACAATAAAATGTTCAGAAACAGACTTCAAAGGACGCATGGCTGCACTCGCTTCCTAATGGTCTGGGACCAATAGCAACTCAGGTGGAAAACGGATATCTTGGGGCTTGGGGGTTCATTCATACCAGAAGCTTTTCTATTGGAAAAATAAAATGTGTTTAGGATAACTGATAGTGAAATGAAGAGGCTTCAATGTCATAACACTGTAGGTCCTGACATGGACCATTACTTATCAATGCACTTTGACAAGACCTAGCTTGACACAATTAAAAAGCCCTGAGTTGCTCAATCAGCCCAGCTCTAAACAACGCTCTACTCTTTCTTCAAAAGTGTGTGGTTTAGCCCAGCCAGCGTGGTTCAGTGGTTGAGCATCAACCCATGAACCAGGAGGTCGAGGTTCGATTCTAAGTCAGGGCATATGCCCAGGTTGCGGGCTCAATCCCCAGTGTGGGGTGTGCAGGAGGCAGATCAATGAATCTCTCTCATCATTGATGTTTCTATCTCTCTCTCCCTCTTCCTTCCTCTGTGAAATCAATAAATATATATATTTTTTAATTTTTTTAAAAATGTGTGTGGTTTATTGGGTGCAAGATCAGCAACCCAGCTTCTATGCCCACCACCCTCCAACAGGGACTCTGAAGTCAGCCTGCATCCGAAACACACCCTAAAAGAGAAAGAGAGCTCGAGGCTAAAATCCCAGTTGCAGAGGCAGGAGAGAACAAAGGGAAGGGAAATGCAGCTGGCCATCAACAAATGTGGGCAGAACAAGCCAAGAATCATGCACGTATGAATTCTAGCAAAGTGTGCAAGCCAACTGAGTAACAAGGTAGCGTGAAAGATGAGTTGGTGGAGCCAACGTGCCTGCATAAATGCCAAGAGAACACACACATCCAGCATTTAAAAAGCCGGCAGTGGAACCTCAGCTAGACACTGCCCTTCATGGATGCCAGGTGAGATGCTCTCCTTTCCTAACCCACCCCTCACTTATTCCTCCTCCTCCCACCACCCATATTCCCTGGCACTTTCTCAGCCTCCCAGTGCCCCCTCCTCCTGGCCCTTCCTATAGGCAGGCATTCATTGCTGCATCCCCCTGGGAGGGAAAAGGGCAGCCAGGAGTGACACACGCAGGGTAAGTCCTGGCTGTCTGCTTTCTAGCTAAGGGAATTTGCACAAAACAGATAACCCCCCAGAGCATCAGATTCCTCACCTGAAAAGGCAGGTGGTCTGTCGGCCTAAGGACTACTGGAGGTATCACATGAGATCATGTATACGAAACCTTAGCATAAGGTGATATGGTACTCACAAACAGGTTCCTTTGTGCCTCATCTCTGAGCTTTTGCAATACCTAGGAACCCAGTCCCTCTCTTTCCACTCTGAGATTTGAATACCTCATCCATGTTTCCAAACACAAACTCGTCTTCCTCCTCAAACTGATCCAACTAAAGAGGCTGAATGCCAAACTCGCTACAGAACTGTCAGGGCTGCTGATGCCGGTAGGTATTAGCAATACAGATGGGATATGTGGCTTGTGGCAAAAACAGCCTGCCATTTCTCTACAGGACTGGAAACTCTGGGGAGGCAGGAGATACATCTTTCTTAGGTTTCCTCTGTGAAATCCTTAATGTTATCGGTGCTTTGTACCGAATGAGCATTCAGAAAGTACTGACCACATGAAGAAAAGAAAGGTAGTAGGATCCATGTAATCGTTTCAATTCAACTGCTTCAGACACGACATTTAAAAAGCCCATGGCTGTTAAATGCCAAACCCTTCCGATAAGAATGCTGATCCACTTAAGCATGAAATTACAAATGAAAATTTCTAATAGGAGAAAACATTCTTAATATTCACAAAATTCACTGTGAATCACACAAAATTATTTTTTACTTTTGTAACAAGAAAATATCCAAACTGGAACTTGCCTTCCCCCACCCCCCACAAAAAAAAAAAAAGTACTCTTGCTTTTGCTTTCTTATCTTCTTTGTATGGCTATGCATTTGCTCCCACCTTCTGTCAGACTGCAAGCTCTCTGTTAGGCAGGCATGACTTACTTCATCTCTGCCTGTCTAGCCCAGGCAACGCCTGACACACAGCAGATATTCAATCATTTATTTTTCCAATAAATAGGGGGGAAGTTCCTTATTTTGATCATTTGCGATGCTCCTAGGCACACTGGCCAATATCCTGTCATTTTCAAATTTACCTTCTTCCCCTACATTTCACCTGTGTTCATATGCAAGTAACTTAGTGTCTGAGTCTCCTATTTTTCATCTGTAAAATGGGTTAACAAGTACTACTTCAAAGAATATGGCAGGAAGAGGTGCTCACTAAATGAGCTATATGATCAGTCTCAGCCACCACCCTAGACCAGCCTCTGATCACGTCTCGCCAGGTTGTCAAGTGGTCAAAAGCTCCCTAAGTGCTACACCTGTTACTAGTGAAGCCATGTCTACTACCTGAAACAGGACTGATCAGGTCTTCCTTTGTTTAAAGTCGTTCTGATGGCTCCAAGCTCCTTACTAAGTCAGTCATGGCCCTTCACCACCTGATCCCACCTTCGTTCTACCCTAACTTCCCAAGTATCCTGCACTCTGGCCAAACATGCCATTCACAATTCCCAAATAAGCCTTGCACTTCCCTCACATCTGGTACCTTCACTTCAGCCACTGCTCTGCAAATCAATAAACCTTCCTAGAATTATCAGCTAGAATGACCGATTTACCAGCAATGCCTGATTCCCCAGTACTTACCGTACCCAGCTAACTGTTAGCAGTTCTTTGCAAATGTGGGCCTCCTTAATCAGAGAGGAAGCACCGAGGGAAAGGCCTAGGTCTTTCTCTCCTCTCACCTCTATCTCCACAAGCTAGACCTCTAGCAGCTAGCAGGCTGCCAGTACAGGACTGGCGCTCGATGAAAATCTTCAGCATGGAATTGTCAGCCACAAAGCAATGAAAGTAGAAACTCTCTGGTCTACTTTCTCTTTTTGAAATTGTTCTCACCTCAACTGTCCATTATTTATTTAAAATTTTTATTGCCTAACTACTATGTGGCGGCCACTGTTCTAAGCCCTGGGGATAAAAGGTGTGAACAAAATGGATAAGATCTCTGTTCCTATGTACCATCTGAGGAGGCAGGCAACCCACAAACATATTTATGTCAGGCGGTGATCACCACTATAGAGAAAAATAAAGTGTCTTCCCTTCCTCACCCAACCATCGTTCTCCTGTCTCTGGGGGAGCTTTCCTCACTCATTCTCGTTCTCCCTCTGGATGAGAAATGTCAAGAACTCGCTAGATCCCCTGGTTCTCCCAAGGTTTCAACATGCTTGACCCCAAGCCTGGATCACCATCACTGTCCTCTGCTCTTTCTCTCTCCATTTCCACTCCATAAAGTATAACTAACATGTTTTAAGAAGGCGGTCACAATCTCCCACACATATTGAGAAACGGTAGTTAAATTTTGGGGGAGTCAAAAGCTATACATGTATCTAGTATTTATGACTGTACGGAGGGGGAGGGGAGGTTGTCAGAGCTCCTAACCCCCACATTGTTCAAAGGTCAACTGTAAGTGTGTGTGTATGTATGTGTATATAGAGAGATAGGTAGCTATATATAGATATCCTATATAATAAAGATATAATATGCAAATGGTCATTACACTGTGAAGCTAACGACGGACCACATAAGGACCGGATCACTGAGCAGCAGGAGGGTGGGGCAGCGAGCTAAAAGCAGGTGGCGGAGAGCTACAGGAGGGGGCAGGGCAGCAATCTATGAGGGGGGAGCGGGGGAAGGGGAGGATAAGGGGAGCTACAGGAGGACGGGGCAATAGGCGGAGAGCTACTAGAAGGCAGCGGCGAGCTACTGGCACACGGATTCGTGCGCAGGGCTACTAGTAGATATATTACAGTAATGTGAAGGTAACTACCAAAAGAACCAGCCCAAAGAATTTAAAGTAGTTGCCTCTGAGAAGAGCGAAATGAGAAGAGGGGGATTCTATTGTTTGTAACAAACTTTTTGAACAATTTGACTCTAAGTTATATACTTATGTAACTGTAATAATTTTTAAATTGTTGAATAATAATAAAAAGTTATACACTACCAGGTTTTAAAAAAAGGTTCAAATAAGCCTACTGCTGCCCTGATCGGTTTGGCTCAGTGGATAGAGCGTCGGCCTGGGGACTGAAGGGTCCCAGGTTCGATTCCAGTCAAGGGCATGTACCTTGGTTGCGGGCACATCCCCAGTAGGGGGTGTGTAGGAGGCAGCTAATCGGTGTTTCCCTCTCATCGATGTTTCTGACTCTCCCTTCCTCTTTGTAAAAAATCAATAAAATATATTTTAAAAAAATAAGCCTACTGCAAATTTATGCTGCTCATTTACACAAGGGTTTTTCCTATTCCTTCTTGCCAATTACTTTGCCACTTCTATCAGCAGTTGTTCCTAGCATTCCTCGCAGTGTAACTGTGAGAACAGCAGCTCTTTTGCTATCTTGATGTACCTGAGGAGTCCTTGGAACTACTGCCTTAGATAAAGAGAACAATTTCTTTATCTGTAAAATGGGAATAAATAATAGTACAGATTTCATAGGCTTTTGTAAGGAACCAATGAAGGCATTTGAAATGCCAAACTCTGCACCAGGCTTGTGACAAATACCCAAGAGCCCTCCTTCCATCTCAGCTCAGATCCTAACTGCACCCCACCGTCTCCATCACTGAGAAGACTGAGGCCATGTGGCACCGAGTTCCTTCTGTTTTCCACTTCAGTCTCAATCTACTGACTCAACTTTTCGTCTGAGTATAAAAGGAGGGGCACCTCTGCCCACCGAGCCACGGCTCCCTGACCACCTGCAACAGCCTCTCTGGCTGAGTTCTTGGGTAGCTAAGCAAATCACAAAAAAGCTCTGCCAAGTGCCCGCCTTTGCTGCACTACAGTGAAGTGCAGGCAAAATACAACCTACAAGGTAACATGCCAATCCTCCATCATTTACAGACAAAAAGGGTAGGGGGGTCAACACTTCAAGCTACATTCCAAGCTGCAGAAGTTCTGACATGTTGAATGTCTCCGGGAAGACAGCTTGAGGGTCAAAGACTGGTTTGAATCCTGACTCTGCCATTAATAACTATGTGATCTTGAGGTTCTATCTAAGGAGGGAAGAGAAGCAGTATTTTAATGTCTCTTATGCTATTTGTCCGGAACTTCACACAAACATTTTCCTTTTAACTGTTAAACTCTAAGCCTTAGTTTCTCATAAAATGGGAGTTAAGGAACCCTAAAGCCTACATCACAGAGTTATTGTGAGGATTAAATGAAACAAATCTAAATTGCTTAAAACAGTCCTGGCATACAGCAGATGGTTTAAAAAGGGTTTCTTCCTCTCAATTTTCCTATTATCACCATTTTAACATCCCATTCTGGATTGCAAACCTCTCCTTCTACTGAAGAATGCAGAACACAGTTCTTTCTCCAGGTCAAGGTTCACCGTCAGCTCTAATGGCGCTTGACCAGAGAGCACACTGCCTCTGGGAGCTGACAAAGGGAGGGCCCACACCCACACACCATTACCCAGCCAGTAAGTTTCCTTCCTGCTCGCTAATCTGGAAAACATGCCATGGAGCATTTCAAATGAAATCGCCATTTGAAATAAGCTCCCGCCTGTGTTGTTAAGGTATTGATGTACTGAGACGTCCGTGGCATTGCTTTCACTAAAATGAACAAGTTAATCTGCAGTCAGGCTCTTTATGAGGGCAGCTAATGAAGGAAATAGTATGGAGTGCCTGCTACATTCCAGGCATTGTACTGGCCTTTGCCGCTTGTCTCATTTTATTCTCCCAACACTGTGAGATGGGTACAGCTATTACATCCCCATTTTATAAACGAGGAAAAGGATCTCAAGAAAGGTTAAGTCATACAGCTAGTAAATGGCAAAGCTGATATCTAAATTTAGGTCGAGCGGGCTTCCAATCTACGCTGAGATGCTTTGATTTTGCTTGGTTAGTTTTCCCTTTATTACTTTTGTGAAACGAATGGGCCTGGGTTATGGGCATTGCATAAGCAGAGGCAAGGCAAGAGGCAGGATAGAAAGGGCAGTGAGCTGGCCCAAGGGCCTGAGGTGGTCAACACTCACCTTCCTGGCCATGTTTGCGAAGTGGGCCCCACAGGCCTTACAGCTTGGTTCCGAGCCTGTTGGGGAAGGAAAGGAGCTGTACCCAGGATTGGAATAGGCCTGCGCCCTGGCTCCCTGGGGTGGTGCGGCCTCCTCAGGCTGTCCATCCACGCAGAACCAGTTGCAACAGCTTGCCCACATGATAAAATCTGGTGAACGGGAGGAAAAGGAAAAAAGTCAGAATTAAGACACACCTCTAGTGCATTCCCACTCCTGAGGGCACAGGTGAGCTGGGACACTCAAACCACTCCTGCTGCCAAAGTCAAGGCACAATATGTTGGGCCACTGGTTTCCTGCCACCTCCTGCACCACCACCTTTGCACATAAGAAGCGACTATAGACACCTGATCTGCCAGGGCAGCACGGGCGGCCAAGTTGGCACACTACCTTTGAAAGGTTGCTGATCCCTGTTTGGGTTTAATCTGAGATCTAACTTCAAATAAAATCTCTTGCCGTAGCAATTACAAGGGGCCTAACACACACTTTATTCAGGAACATGACCTTCCCCTAGAGTTCACAGACACACACACTGCATAATTCCACGCTCACATTGACTATGTGAAAAGGTTTTATTTCCTGTATATAGGTGAGAAGTCAAGGTCACGCACTAATATATAGAAAATCAAGATTTGGAAAACCCAGGTCCTTCTGACTCTAAACCTCAAGTTCTTCTCCCTGCACCATGCTGCTGCCCCTCGGTCTCCCCTCCCACGAGCCAGCAGAACTAACTACTCTTACATTTGTACCTGCAATCCCATATAAGCTTCCATCACAGCACCTATAGCAGCTGGTTGCACAGATACGCTCACCCTTTGTTTTCTACCGCTAAACCATACATTCCTCGAGAGAAGTAACCACTTCTTATTCACATCTGTACCTTCCCCTAGCAGTGTCGTGCACAGAGTAGATGCTCAATAAATAAAATTTAGCTTCATTGCTCAATCAGTGCCTCTGTGAGTTTATTAAAAAGTGTTGTATTATTATTCCCATTTGACATACCAAATACAGGTACTAGGGACAAAGGGATTGGTGTTTGTTTGTTTTTTATGATCCTGCAAGTCCCCCACTGGGGATGGAGCCCACAACCCAGGCATGTGTCCTTGACCAGAATCGAACCTGGGACCTTTCAGTTTGCAGGCCGATGCTCTATTCAAACTGGCCAGGGCGGGATTGGTGATTTTTTTAAGATCACGAAACAAAGAGGAGGTAATCTCCCAAATGACAGTCCACTAAAATGCCAAGTAACGCCGTGATAAAGTAAGAGTGTGCTTTTCTCAGTAGACCAAGGCAGTCAACATGGACATTTTGAGCCTGAACTCTATGTTTACTGAGATAATAATGGAACATTTAGTGTTATTACTCAATAATCAGTTCCCATAAAAGAATGGTACTTTCTGCGCTGCCTCCTGACTTCTTGAAAGTGCCTTTGTGAAATCATAGTTCAAAGATATGATAAGCTGGAAGGAACTAAGAAGCCAACAGGTTCAACCTTGGTCCTTTTATAGAGGAAAAGCAAAAGGCCCAGCAGAGAGAGTAACTTCCTGGTTCACAAAGAGATAACGTCAGGCCTCTGACTACTCTAGGGCCTTTTTAGCTTCCCAACACTTGCCTCCAATATACCTGTGATATAATTCATTCGCTTTTGTAGGCGGATCCAATTTATATCTGCCCCACCCCACCCCAAACACTTGCCTGTGACCCCATGAGAACAGGGACCATTAGTCATACAGTATTCAGCAGATAGGTACTCAACAAGTACTACTGAGTGAATGAATCACACACAATATTTAAATCTTAACTAAGCACACATTTCCTACACATCCCTCTCTGACTCACCATTACTTGCATGAAGACTCTAAGACTCACTTTCCACAGACTTTGGGGGGGGCGGGGGATCTGCCTTACTGGTAATTAACAGTTCACATGGAATAATGAAGTAAAGAGCAGTTAATTAAACGAGTTCTTTGTTGTCAAGAGAATGGAGACAACAGTGGGGTAGTAGCCCTCTGAAGGAGGGATTCTGTAATTCTTTAAATCATCAGTTGATGGAAACACCTGTGACAGTGTCATAATACAAAGAGCATATAGGATCTGGGTAAAACAGAGGTCCCAAGCCCCGGTGATGGGCTATGCTACCCAAGTCATAACCCTTCTGTACTTCATTTTTCTCATCTGGACATCTCTGGCTGTGAAGCACTAAATAAACATTAGTTGTTGCTACTAACATCATAACAATATTTTAACTACAACTTCTCTGGGAACGCACAGGCAAAAAGCACTACGATTTGGCTTTCTGGGCTTGTCCCAAGATCTTTGCCAGAATTAGCAGGCTGTGTCAATGAATTGAAAAGGTAGGGGAAGGGAGAAAGAAAACAGTCTTGGATGAATCCCAGGGACTCTGACTTGCACAACAAGACAGACAGTGGAATCACTAACTGGGATAAAGCCCTCAGGAGGAGGCATGTACCTGTGTGTGGAGGGGGCGGGTTAAGATGAGGAGTTGAGTTTTGTTCTGTGGGACATGCTGATGTATGCACAGCACACAGGGGTTTGGTCTCAGTTGAAGATGAAGGTTTGGGAATCCTCAGCCTTCTACGAGTATGTAAATAAACCCAGAGTGGGGCAGAAGCCTGATGGATGGTGAAGGGCAGAAAGAGGCGGGTCTGTGAGAACCCTTGGGAAGACCGGATCTACAGGGCAAGCAGAGGAAAACCAACCCGCAGAACAGAGAAAGGAAGAATGCTCAGAGGTGGGAAAACTGAAAGAGTGTTATGAGTTTCAAGAAGAAATTATCCATGCTAGCTACTGACCCAGAGGGTAGAACACAATAAAAAATGCAAAACGGACCTAGTTTTAGGAAAATGTGGGTATGCTCTTTGCCTGAGTAGTTTAGGAAGATAACCACAGGTTGGGAAGTGAATGAGAAGTGAGGATTTGCCAGACTCTAAGCATAAATTATTCTTTCAAGAAACTTTTGACTGTGAATAGGAGAGAGAAGGCAGTAGCTGAAGAAGATCCAGGTCACCAAAATAGAGAGAAATGTAGACATATTTGAAGACTGTAGAGGAAACCCCCAAAGATTAAGAAATTATAGAGGAAGGAAGCTAGTGATAAATTATGGGAGTAAGAGCCAGAGTAGCAGGAAACGTGGCACCTAGTGGTCAGATTCTGGGTGTACACTTCTGGGCAGGAGAAAAGTCACCTCTCACCAGAGAGTGGAACAGAAGTAAAGACAGATATAACCAAAGATAAGCTTACAGCATTAGCAGAGAAAAAGGAAAAAAGGAAATAAAAAGGAAAAGGAGGGGAGTGATAGATTTAACCATGAGAAAACACATTTTCTTCCACACTAGGAATACACATGCTGCAATGGTTTCCCCAGAGATAAGAACTCTGCCACAACGGTAAAGCACATGGTGAAGCACAGTCTGTAGGAGCCAGTATGTTTCCAATGAAAGCTGGCCCGCTGTATATTGTTTCAATTCGCACTTTATTTCAGAAGCACCAGCTATGTGCTGGGCACTGGGGTGACCAAAAGTGATTCTGACAAGGTCCCTGCCCCCAGGGGACTTCAGCCAGGAAGGCACTAGAGCTCCCCCTGATACAAAAGCTAAGAAAGCTCTTCCTCAGTTGGGAGTCAGGAGAATGAATCATCCTCAGCACTACTTTCATTCTAACTTTGCATCTAATCTTCACTGCCTCCTCTAGGGAGCCTTGAAAGAAAAGCCCTTGGCCTGTTAAGTATCTGGCTACTCTTACAAGGTCTTGGCTCTGTGAGAAGACTTGAAATTTGTCGCTGTTATTCCATAAGCCCCATGTTTGAGTGATGAACAGTCTTACTATCCTGGGGATATGTATGTGTGGGAGAAGGGGTCATTATGGAAAGGGCTAGGTGGAAAGAATCCCCAATGCTAACATACCTCACACCTGCTCACTCAAACAGAACTCGTTCACCAGTCAACAGACTAGGCTTTTACTCATTTTGACATATATTTCCATACCAAAAAGACACATGTCCTAATGTGGTCAGTTAAAACTACTCTCTTGCCCCCAGACCAGTGGTTCAGTGGTTAAAGCGCTGGCCTGTGCACCAAAGGGTCATGGGTTTAATATCTGGTCAGGGGCAAGTACCTGGGTTTGCTAGTTCCATCCCTGCCCAGGTGGGAGCATTTGCAGGGGCAACCAATGGATGTTTCCTTCTCACATAGATGCTTCTTTCTCTCCCCCTCCCTCTCTTCCACTCTCTCTAAAAAAATTACACACACACACACACACACACGCGCTATATCTATATCTATATCTATATCTATATCTCCTTGGATAAGGGTTAAAAACAACAACAAAAAGTACTCTCTTGCCAAACTGGAAAACCCTAAGTCTAAAAAATAACTATCTTCAGGGTTATTTTGGGGAGTGAAAGAGTTTGTAATTTTAACATTGCCATACAAACTACACATTTTTCTCTTGGGAATATTTTTTTCATCCCTCAGCCCTAAACAGATTCACATACATGGCATCTGATTATGTAACTTAAAGGACTGAAAGTGGAACCAATTGTGAGGTGTATAAAGAAGTTTCCCTATGTTGACAACTTTGAAAGTTTCCTTCTCAGATCTGCAAACCTCCTTCTGATCGTGAAAGAAAATTATCAAATCTCCACTGAGGGCTTGAAAATCCCTTCTCCAAATCCCCTCACCCTCTTCAGAAAAGAGACTGAGAGATTTAATCCTCAAAAACGGTCTCTGGCTGCTCTCCCACTGAGTGTGTTTGAAAACTGCCGGGCTCTCCTCCTCCCCTTTGCCTGCAGGGAGAAGGGGAGATGGAGGGCTGGGTGAACAAGAAAACTGACCATTCCCTGGGGAAGAGTCCTGTGGTGTGAGGCAGGAGCGGCTAGCTAGCTCACGAGATTTTGTCAGCTTGATAAGTATGCTGGTATTTCTGGGCAGACTGATCCCTGCTGAACAGGAAAATTACAGTGGTAACCCAGGGTAAGATAGAGGACCTATCCCAGGTACAGTCAGTTAGAGGCAGGAGGGGAGGTAATGTGATTTCTTCCTTCATCACTTCACTTGTTCACCTGATCAAGTCAAATAATTTTAAATGGATCAGTGGTTGTCATGGGCTTTACCATGGAGCAGAGAAGGGTCAG